CAAGATTCAGCGCCATGACTCTGAAAGACGAAAACTCGGAGAAATCTCGAGAGCTCTTCCTCAACATTGGTTTAGACGAGAAAACTGTACGCAGCATCGTCGAAGACAGAGATAAGAAGCTCACCTCCGACCTCATCGCCGTCATCGAACAGGTCTCCTCTCTCTCTGGACAAAAGAGAAGTGAATTTCGTTGAAATTGTTGATTTGATCCTGTTTCTATGATTCCTCTTCGGATTTTGATGATGGTGGACTCGTTTGCATGTTGTAATTTCTGATGCGTACGATGTTTCAGCCATTAAAGATGCTGTGGTCGGGGACACATTCCAGTTCGAGAGGCTAGGTATTTTCCCCGCAATTCTAGATGATCAGCAACAAGTTTTTTTACTCTTTTTAAAAAAAAAAAAAATATCCTAAAATCAACACTGACTTGTGATTTATGCATTAGGTTATTACACGGTCGACAAGGACACTAACCCGAGAAAGCTTGTGCTTAACCGGACGGTCACACTCAAAGACAACAACAAGAAAGATGGGAAGTAGAAACATACAAACACATTTGTTGGTTTCGTAAACCCCAAAAGGGTCATAATAGTAATGAAATCCTTGGTCATAAAAGTTGCAAAGGAAGAAAGATGAAAATATTAGGATAATTACAATAGTGATAAAAATTTTCAAGGTTCTATAACTTGTTCTTTTAGTATGTCATATGATATCTCAGAGATCAAATCGGTATTTGACAGATGATTTTTATCTTCAACTGTCAAAATTGTACTCGAATGATTTACCGACTTGGCTAGTAAATGTTACATAGAAGTATCGTCGTCGTCGAGAGGTAAGAAGACGTTGGAGACGAATTCTTGGAAACGAGAAGAGTAGATCTTTGGATGCACAGTTGAGATTGAGTTGGAGTTATGTTGGATAGTTTTGTAACAATGTTCTATGCGTTTCTTCATACCATAGTCTTGAAATGTGTCTACGATCCCTACGTATAAAACGACATCATACCATTCGGCTTCTCCCGTTGATCTCTTCACTCGCCGTGCCCTTGCAGGAATCTTCATACCAAAACTCGTAGCCGATCTGCAATGGAAAAAAACACAAATGTTAGAATTTTGTTTTTTGTATTTGGATGTGAGAATTCTAACAATGTTTTTTAGTTACTTTACCGGTTGAGGAAGAGTCCACTGAGTGTTGCTAATTTGCTTTTTCTGTTTATCATCTGATTCATTTCTGAGCTTGTCAATGACTGTATGGTAGTAACTGGATTTTCGATTTCGACTGAATCTGTTAAGAATCAAAAGAAATG